ACTCTGTAAAGACAGTGGGCATTGTGGGGCTTTGTTAACCTGGATGCACTTAGTGACCAGAAGAATCTCCAGTAGCTAGGTACAGTGGCACATACTTGTCATCTCAGTGCTCAGGCAGCTGAGGCAGGATTGTGACGTTGAGGCTGGCCTGAGCTTCACAGCAAGACCCTGTCTCAGGAAAAAAAGAAAATACCTACAGGAAGCCCTTAAGATCATTATTTATCCTGCATCTTAAGCATGCACAGCAAAAACTTGGTGCTCTCTTTGGGTTGCTGGGTGCTGAGGCCCTGTGTGAACCCCACTCTCTGGCCTGGTGCACCTGCCAAGGCCACAGCTGTGACAACAGATGGCACACACTACTGCAAAATGACAGCTCTCAGATCCTTAGTGGATTGTTGAACATGAGTATTTTAGTAGCCTGGCCAGTTTCCCCAGTGTTCTCAGAGGAGTGTGACCATTTAAACCTTTCAGTTCTCAGGACAGCGTGGGGTTTTCTGGGTCAAGGGAGCAGACTTCATTTGCTGAGGAAGGGTTGGCAGTTTCACTTGCAGCTTGTATTCCGGCACCAACAAAGACTGCCAGTTAATAGTTGGGAAATCAGAAGGCAGAGCAGTCAAATGTGGGTGGGACAAAGGCACTGCAGAGAGCAGCTTCCTGTTTGTAGTGTATCCTTGGGAGTATCAGGGTATAAGCAACTCTTGTGCCAATGTGCCAAGTTATGCCTGAAGCCAAGAAGTCCAGTGTTTCTTCCTGTTGAATGCATTTTATTTAAGGTTGAAGCAAAGGACCATTGCTTTTGTACTGAAGAAAACATACATAGAGCAGTGGGAGGTAAAAATGCTACGTTTGGGAGTGGAGAGATGGCTCAGTGGTTAAGAGCACTGACTGCTCTTGCGGAGGACCTGGGTTCGATTCTTAGCACCCACATGGTGGCTAACAACTATCTGTAACTCCAGTTCCAGGGGATCTGACCTGACACTTTCTTCTGACCTCTGTGGGCATTGCATGACAAAGGTGCACCTAAATACATGCAAGCAATACATTCATACACATAAAATAAAAGTAATAAATAAAATATTTTTTATAAAAAGAGTTGCTGAGCATGGTGGCACACACCTTTAATTCCAGCACTCGGGAGCAGAGCAGATCTCTATGAGTTCAGGGCCAGCCTGGTCTACATAGCAAGTTCCAGGCCAGCTGGGACTACAGGGAGACTCTGTCTCAAAAACACCAAAAAAAAAACAAAAAACAAAAAACAAAAAACTTACATTTGAGAAGAGTCTCCCAAGGATGCCCATTTGCTGCGGGCAGCCCTGCCACCAGTGGGCTGGGAACTGTGGAGACTGATCAGGGTCACTTGGCTGACTAGTATTGGAGGGCCTGCAGCTCAGCCTGCTTGTCTCTCCATGCTGCTGTGCTTTCTGGTGAGCCAAGGTGCATGTGCAGTTCCTCTACAAAGGATTTTCCGAGCCACTGCCCTTTGCCTCTCGCTGCTCTTTATCAGCAACTTCTGTGGCACTTTCTTACTCCTACCTTGTAATAGATGGGGACACATTAAACTCAGTCTTATGTCCTGTTCTGGTAGGTTTCCAGGAGGGAGGGGCACAGTCTGGGGTTTTGGTTTTACCTGCTGAGCATCCTGGTGATAGAAGTAGGCTCTCAATGAGCATTTCCTAATCTACCACAGAGGAAGCAGCTAATACTCTGTGTTTCCTTCCAGTGCCAGGGATCAAAACTAGGACCTTGAAGATGCTGGGCAAGAACTCTACCACTAAGCCACATCTCTAGCTCTTGATTTTTTTCTTTTCTAGTCTTTTCTCCCCTTCATCATCCTCATTTCCTTCCTTTCTTTCCCTACTTTCCAGGGCTGGGGATAGGATTTAGGACCTCACACATGCTAGGCAAGTGCTCTACTACTGAGCTACATCTACAGCCATTTCTTTTTAGAAGTGAAACCCTTTTTAAAGTTTAATTAATTAATTAATTAATTTTATGTGTATGAATATATTGCCTGCTTATATATAAGTGCACCCATGTCATGCAGTGCCCTCAGAGGTCAGAAGAGGGTGTCGGATCTCTTGGAAATGGAGTCACGCATGATTGTTAGCTGCCATGTGGGTGCTAGGAAACTGAGTCCTCTGCAAAGCAGCAAGCGCTCTTAACCACTGAGCCATCTCTCTAGCCCCTAGAAGTGAAACTCTGACATGGCTTGGCCTAGCATTTTTTGAAGGTGAGAAGCAGGAAAGTTGAATACCTTTTTTAGACAAGTTTCTGGCTGGACACTGTATACTCACACAGGAAGTGCTCCTGGTCATCCTGACTAAAGAGAAACAATTTGATAGATGACTGTCATCTGTCACTGTTTCCAGGTCTAAATGGAAAGTCCATTGTTTTAATTTTCTCTGGTGCCCTTTTCTGTCAGCAATGTAGGAGAAATAATTACCTTTTTTTTTGGTATTTTTTTTTTTCCTCAGTAGTATCTGCCCTGGTGTACCTCTGAGACAATGGAAATGTTAATTGAGAATGAAAATAGAGCTATTGAACAATTAAATAATTATGATATGTTGCTTTTTAGGACATCATGTCATCTACACATCAATATGTGACAATGATCAGACAGACTCCTCGAATTCCCAGAATTGTGCTGTGGCCTAAGTTCAAGTAGAGAGAGCCTAGTAGGCATTGTGCCTTGATAAAGATTCTCCCTAAGTTGGGCACTGGTAGGGACACCCTGGGGTGCTAGCCATACCCATATCCTTGTGAGCACTGTGGGGAGCTGAGGTGAGACCATCATTGATATTGGCAGAGCTTCCAGGGACCATTTCTACCTTCAGACCTTATTTCCTTTGTGGCTTTAAGCAAAGAAGATCTGCATATTAGTTTTCTCATTTGACAATAGAGAAGACATTATCCTCTGTCAACTGTCTTTAAATTTGAATACAAGGCAACATTAGAAAGAAGGGATTGTTAATAGCATACTTGCTGGGGCCTGGGGGTGTGACTCAGTGGTAGTGGGCTTGCCTATCATGGGCAAGAAAACTGTACCTCTTGTGTTTATGTCCACACAGGAGTATAGATTTCAGGTTTGGTCCACAGGTTTTGCAGAGAATCTGTAGTTTCAGTACACAGGGAAGACTGCACTTTGCTGCTCTCTGTTCCTGGTACAATCCTATCCATTTTTTTGATCATTCTAAGCACTACCTGTGTCCACTCAGCATTTAGATTATATCTTTACAAATCATATTTCTGTTCTTGCAGAAAACCCATCTATGGTTTTACTGAAAAGATTAAAGCTGATTTGAAAGACTTGAACTTGAAATTCCACACAAACTCCCATTTTATGTGGATATGACTTTATCTCTGTCCATCTCTCAGTTTTAGATAAGGGGCAGGGGCACTGCTTTGCCCTCCAGAGCCAACCCTTTCTTGTACCATCTCTCCCTCCCTCCTTATCTTCCTGCTCTACTGTCACTGTATGTTTCTTACATCACATACCTCTTAGGCTTCCTTGTAATTGCTTTTGGTCACTCTGGGGATTGAATCTAGTACCTCCTACAAGCTAGGCAAGTGCCCGGCCACTGAGCCACAGTTGTTTTTAAATATGCATAGACTTTATTCTCTTACAAAGCACACAAGAAAACCAGAATGTCTTTGCTCAGCTTTGTTATCTCTACTGGTCTATTTATTGGTTCCCTAGGGCATGTAATAAGACATCTCAATTTCCTCTTTCCTCCCACAGTCTACCTTCCTTTTTCTGTCCTCACCCTATTGAAATTCCATCTCAAAGGTCAACTGTGGTACCCTCGGAGCCCAATCCAAAGAGGGTTTTGTTTTAGCTTCATTTTTTTTTTCTTATTTTCTCTGGACAATTGAGCCCCCCATTTCCATGAACTACTATGGTTTTCATTTGTCCATCTACCTCCTAATTGGTAGATGGCAGCATCCTGGCTGGGCATCCAGGTAGCATTAATATGCCTGTGGTTGAGTTCTTATTCTGCTACTAATTAACTGAAGGAAAGTGAGATCAAGAGAAAGCCTTGTTACCTCTTTGGTGTGAAAATCAAATGTAATAATCCAGCCATATTTACTGTTTGTCATGTGGGAGTGTTCATTAATGCTACTTGTTAGCATAACAAGTTCCCAAGTCTTTGAAAACAGGTTGCTTTTACCCCCTCCCCCACCATTTAGGTCCAACACAAGGCCAGATGATAAGTAACTATTGATGTAAAAGTTCATGCAACAGTTGGGAGAAATCAGGGAAGGAGAGGGAGGGAGGCTCCTGAAGTCTGCAGAGCCTGTAGCAGCCACTTTACACATTGTTCTGGGTTTTAAAAAAATTTACAGGGCTGGAGAGATGGCTCAGCAGCTAAGAGCACTGGCTGCTCTTGCAGAGGACCTGGGTTCGATTCTCAGCACTCACATGGTGGCTAACAATGGTCTGGAAGTCCAGTTCCAGGGAATCTGACCCTGTCTTCTCACCTCCGCAGGCATCGCATGACATGGCCACGCTAATATACTTGCTCCTAATATACTCATACACATAAAATAAAAGTAAAATATTTTAAAAAATTATTGATTTATTTTTATTTTATGAGTTTTGCTTTCCTGTATGTGGCTGCACCCGTGCCATGCAATGCTCACAGAGGCCAGAAAAGGGCGTCAGATCTCTGGAGTTGTGGATGGATGTTAGCTGTCATGTGGGTGCTGGCGATGGAACACGATCCTCTGTAAAAACAGCCAGTGCTCTTAACTGCTGAGCCGTCTCTAGCAAATAAATGATTTAAGTTGTTGAGTGTTTGAAATGCTCCTTTGGGGACATATGGTGCTTGTTGAGCAGTGTTAAAATCTTTTTGGTGCGACTGTCAGTCACAACGCTTGACATAAAACACAGTGTCCCATCCTGAGATTATGTGCGGCTCTAACCAGATTATGTAGGGAAAGAGGTGGGCAGAGGCCTGAAAGCCGTGACTGGAGGGATGGCGCCATCTAGCGGCATCATGGGGGAAATGGCACGGGCAGCGCGTGTCATTTGGTGCGGGCGAAGGTCCTCCGAATTGCTCTTCTTTTTGGACAAAGTGTAGGTGAGACCGGACAGGAGGGAAGAATAAGGGAAAAGCACAGCGAGGTGTGTGTGGAGGGGTGGGGTGGGAGACACCGCGGCAACGTGGGGGCGCAAAGGCCGCAGCCTCTTGGGCCGGTGCAGGACAACCTTGTGGGTGTCATTAGAGGGCCGTTCCCTCCCCCACTTCACCACCACGTAGCCATGGATCCCTCTCCCAGGGGAGTCTCACTTTCCAACGCTCTAAGCTTCCGAAAGGACTCCACGTCCCTGTCTGATTTATCTTTTTTCTATGTCAGGCAGTTGGGGTTGGGAAAATCTCGCCGAGTCATCACATTTGGCGGCCGGCCGGGAACAGCAGCCCTCCTGAGGGGCCCAGGACCAGGTTCCAGCCGCACCACCGCAGTTCCTCACTTGACAAGCCACCCCGGGAGCCAGGTAGGTAACTGCAGGCTGGGCAGCTGGCCAGAAGTGCAGATGCCCTGGGTCCCACACCGTGTTGGAATGCGCTCAAACCACTGGTGTCAGAGGAGTAGTCCTGAGGGTGCGGCATCTGGTGATGCTTCTTTAGGCAACTGGGCAGCCCTTTATTGTCTTTTCCTATTCGAAAACTGTATTCATTGATAGATGGGTTATGAATCATTGTATTGTAACTGAGAGTTCTAGCAGACTGAGGGAAGATTCGGATGATTCAAACTGGTGTCTACACACAGGAAGTTGTCTAGGAGTTGAATGTGGCCTTTCACACCATCGAAGAAAAATATTGATTGTGGAGCCTGCAGATGTGGTGCACCCCTGTAATCCCAGTTCCTCAGTGAGGCTGGGGTAGAAGGACCGAAAGTTCAAGGGCAGCCTGGGTAATCTAGGGAAACTGTTTCAAGTTAAATTTTTTTTTTTTTTTTTTTTTTTAAAAAAAAGGAAGGGCTGGAGAGATGGCTCAGCAGTAAAGACCACTGGCTGCTTTTGCAAAGGACAGGGGTTCAATTCCTAGTACCCACATGGTGGCTAACAACCACCTATAACTCCAATTCCAGGGAGTCTGACACCCGCAAGACGGGTGCACTTACACACATGCAGGCAATATACTCATATACATAAAATAAAAATAATAAATAAAATATCTTTTAAAAAAAGGAAAAAGGACTGGGGTTGCTGCTCAGTGGCAGAGCACTTACCTTGAGTGTCTGAAGCCCTGGGTTCCATTTCCAGTAGGGGAGCAGAGGAACAGATTTCAGTCTTGAATTCCCGTCTGACATTACTGCCTGACTTTGGGTGCGTTGCTACTATTATTGTAAGCTCAGCTTCTTCTTTAAAAGGAAGATAATGAAGCCTGTCTGTCAAGGAAATGTGAGGATTAAATGAAATATGATTAGACTCTTTCCTTTGAAGAGTAGGAACTGGATTTAGTTAATAAAGAAGTTAGAGAATAATAAAATATGATGACACATAAATATTTAACCATGAAGTACAGACTTTATATTAATGCAGGGCGTGAACTTTTTCTTTGACTACGAATCTACTAGTTGACTTTAGTGAGGTGTCTTGCTTATATAAACCACACACATAATGTTTTGTCATTTTTAGCTTTGGTTTGTTTAAATGCATCGATAATTAAGACACTTGGGAAGTTGCCTGTGGTATCATTCCAATTCAAAAAGTCAAAAGTCACATCAGATTATTAAGACTTCCCTCAAACTTTCACTGTTCACACACCCAATTAGATGGCAGTATTTTAGTGGTTTTTCATTGTGGTCTTTCTAGAACATCTAGCCTCACTTTCAGAGAAACAACTTTTTGTTGTGCATTCAGATGTGGTCAGATGTTTGATCCTTAGCACTGCAATAAATAATTAAACAAGTAAAGAAAAATTAATTTCACAGCTACAGTAATAAATACAGCCTCTGTAAATAGTTTTTAGATGCTCATGTCATCACTGTGGGGCCTAAGTAGGGTGCATGCTGTCACTACCACGGTGGTTGATAGAATTCACACAGGACCTGGAGAATCACAGTTGACCTGTAACCCGAGATAAACAGAGGTCAGCCGGAACAGCTTCTGTACTATGTTTAAACCGGGGGGCTGGAGAGACGGCCATTAAGAGCACTAGCTGCTCTTGTAGAGGATCCAGGTTTAGTTCCCAGCACCCATGTAGCAACTAGCAACTGTCTGTATTCCAGTTTGAGGGGATCAGATGCCCTCTTCTTGCCTCCAGGGGCATTGCAGGTATGTAGTACACATTATACATGCAGGCATATTACTCATACACATAAAAAAAGTTAAAAATGTAAGTGCTTATCCTAGTTACCTAGTGCTGGTAACAGTAGTTACCAACTGTTCATATTATTCTAACTACTGAGTTCAGAGTTGAATTAATGTTAAAATCTAACAGCTTCTTCCCCCAACTTTACAGATAAGAAAAAATACAACTGTTTACAATTTGATTCTTCATAATATACCTTTTGGCATCAATAAATCAAAGGCTATTGGTCACAAACCTAATACTTTGAAACAGAAGGACTTATATTTGTAAAGGATTCTGGGTGTTAGCATAAAGTCCTCCATTACCCCCAATCCATACCTTGTTGATAAGGACAGGTAGAACTGTGACATGTCGATGAAAACAAGTCATAGGACCTTGGAGACAGTGAAAACCTGGAGCCTAGGCACAGGGCACACTGGAAGCACTTCAGAAGCGAAAGGATTTATTAAGCAATGTGTGAAGGGATAAACTAAGCTACCACATCTTTGCCTTGAGGTACCCAGACCTCCTCCTGAACCCCATCTCCAGCCTTGGTCACACTAGGCTAAGCTTCTACAATCAGTATAGAAACCCACCACGAAAGCCTCCCTTTACTAGGACATGGCTGTTTAGGGCTTGTGGTAAGAGCCAAGTGACCACAAATCTGTGTTCTGTGTTCATTGAGAGTGTGCTTACCATGTGCCTCCTCCTAGAGTTCCTGTGTGGCAAGTAGGTGGAGGTGATCCTTTGGTTTCAATTGGTTGAGGCGTAATGATCTCAGCTGTGGGAAGAAAGCTGTAATTAGGGAGGGCTCCATGTTGGTCTTGCATGAAGTTACAACTACTGGAGAGGGCTTTGTGACAGGTTTAATGCTTAACCTATTTATTTATTTATTTATTTATTTGTTATTTATTCATTTATTTTTTGCTTGATTGTTAGTTTTTTGAGACAAGGTTTTACTCTTAAGCCAAGATCAGTCTGGAACTCCCTGAATGTTGTAAATCCAAGTGTGCACCACTGCACTCAGCTTGTTTTACTCTTTTTTTTGTTCCCTTGTTTTTTGTTTGTTTTGTGACAGGGTCCCCCCACATACACCAGGCTGGTGACCTGAAGCTCACTATGTAGCCCAGAATGGCCTTGAAATTGTAGTTCTCCTTCCTCTGTCTCCTGAATGTTGAAATTGCAGATGCTGTTTGCTTTTTAGGAAATGTTTGATAGTGATGTTCTAGCTGGATGTGGTAGTTCACACCTGTAATCTAAACACCTGGGAGACTGAGACAGGAGGATCTCAAGTTTGAAGCTAGTTTGGGCTACATAGAAAGTTCAAAAACCAGCTTGAGCTATGCAGTAAGATCAAAGGTTGGGGGCTATAGCTCAGTGGTAGAGTACTTGCCTAGCATGTGCAAACCCCTGCACTTGATCTCCAGTACCAGGAGAAAAAAAAGCATCCTAGAATCCAAGTTTGCATGCATACTAAGCTCATGCTCTAATACTGGGCTACACCCTCAATCCCTAGTCTGATTTTATCTTGACAAGTATCACAGACTGGGTAAGTAATAGGGTGATTTTGGCTCACAATTCTGGTCCAAAGTTAAAAGGCCACAGCAGCAGAAGGTCTTCTGGCTGACAGTGTCCTGAGGTGCTATATAGGATATCCCTTGGTGAGAGATATGCCCAGCCGATTGGATTATATAGCTGACTCATTCCCACCATAGCTCATTAACCCATTAGTTCTGTAATCCTACAAATAAATGAGTCCATTCTTGAGGGCAGAGCATAAGTCACCTGTTAAAGGTCCCATAATGCTCATAATGAACATAAAACTTCAACATGAGTTTGAGAAGGGACAAACCCTATTCAAACCACAGCAACAGTGAAATTCAATGTTTTCACAAACACATGCTGCCAATTGTTTGTTTTGTGCAAAGACCAACATTCTTCTCTCTCAAGCCTTGGTCAGCCCCTACTGTGACCTCTGAGGTCTCTCCTGAGGCATGGCCTCAGCTCCATGGGATGTGCCAATTCTGGCATTAAGTTCCAGTGCAGAGGTCTGTATATATGAGTGCATGTATAGTAATACTGGGCATCTTGTACAGAAAGTGCAATACTCAGACCCCTAGTTCCCAGATTCTGATCCAGTAATTCTGGGATAGGCTGGAGTTTGACAAGTACTAGGGATGCTGGTGTAGGAACCACCCCTAGTATTGAGAAATGCTTTGCTTTTATGTTTGCATCAAAGATCTGGAAGGCAGCCTGCCAGGTGACAGGAGATCTTATGGGGAGAGCAGGGACACTGGGGAGGGTTTGCTAGAACAGGCAGCAAGCTGGAGACGGAACCCGTGGGTGTTTATCAAGCAGCTCAATTCTCTTTCACTTTGCCCTGCTTGAGAGCTTTCTATGACTTTGAATTCTAGTCCTGCCTATTAAGAACAGGCTTGCTGCTTAGTTTCTGAAACTGGAGGAAGCTGCCTTAGCTGGCTAGGGTCCTTAGTGGCTCTGTTAATCTTGCAAGAGAAGTCGAGCATAAGAAAACAAGGAGTAGCTTGTTTTCCTGCCTGATGGAGAGTAGCTCCAGGCATGATTCCTTTTGCCTTGGAACATAAACGCCAGCTGTTTTACAATGAGGCTGTGCCCTCCTAGGTGAGCAGGCCCTAGCCTAGGGACTTGTGCTTCTTTTAAACTACCAGTACCAGTTGTTATGCATCTGCTGACTCTGATCCATGGGATCCCACCCAAGGACTGGTAGGTTCTATTCAAACATAAGGTTGCCTGAAGAAAACCCCTGAAGCAACCACACATTTTCTTTTGTTATGGTTGTTTTATGTTTTTGCTTCAATATGAGTTGATAATCCCTTTATTCTGGAGGGAATGGACTTTCAGTGTTGTGGTTTCTTTCTCTTGTGGCAATGGTTCTAAAGTATGGTCTCCAGGCCAGCAGTAGCTCAGTATCACCTGGGATCTTTTTAGAAATACAAATTATTAAGCTGTCTGTTCCAGATGTACAGAATCAGAAACTCCAGGGATTGGGCCTGGGAGTGTGTGTTTTAATATGCTTGTCAAGTGATTCTGATGCATATGCAAGTGTGAGAACCACTGGCCGGATGCAAGAGCCTATGGGAGTGCCTTGAATTCAAGAAAGAGTCTCTCAGTTCAGCCAGGCAACTGATGCAAAGAGAAGCTGACCATTTGGTGTGTATGCATAATTTTCTTTTTTTTTCTTTTGTGTGTGTATGTGAACATGCTGCCAGTGCATGTAAAGGTTAGAGGTTGATGATGGAGGGTTATTCTTCAATTGACTCCACCTTATGTTTTTGAGGCAGTCTTTCACTGAACCTGGATCTTGCTGATTTGGCTAAACTGGTTGGCCTGCCAGCCCCAGGGCTGTCTCTACCTCCCCAGCACCGGATCTCAGGATGCTCCACCATGCCTGGCTTTTATGTGGGTATTAGAGATCAAACTTAGGTCCTAATGCTTGTATGGCAAGCACTTTTCTGAATGAGCCATCTCCCAAGCTCCATTTTTCTGAGGTTTCATTTTGGTTGCCATCACAGTGATGCAGGAACTTCTGTTGGCTAGAAATGAAAGAGAAGTGGGAACTGGTGGCTAGGGGGTGGGGAGGTGTTTGCATGACCCCTCCAGTGTCTTTTGACCAAGATAGCATTCTTGAA